CATACGATATGACAAATTGATGAAGTCATGGCTGCACAGCCAATTGAACACAATTGGGTAGATTTTTCTCTTACCTCCAACAATGGGGATTGATTTTCCAGAGGCACTAATGGTTTTTCTGGTATTGGTCGCGTAGCAAAGTAGTAGGCAAGACTGGCCGCAACGCTGGTCAAGGTCAGCGTGCCCAAAGTTCCGCCAAAATAACTGAGATATCCATCGATTTCATCCCCTATAAAAGGCAAAAGTAAAAATATATTAATAATTTATGTATAAATAAATATAGTAAATAAAATATATATATATAATAGATGCAGGAAAGTGAAAATAAATTATATTACAAAATAAATAAATAAAAATTAAGTAAATATACCACATTAAATATTAAATTAAATATGAAATATTTTTATTATATTGGGGCTATAATAATATATAAATAAAAATGTTTTTTTTTTTTTGTTTTAATAGCACACAATTAAATAAGACTATTGTGGAGGTAATTTTAGAAATGAAGTTCAGAAGAAGCTCTATTCAAATTCTACTGTATATTACTGCATATCAAAATACTTACAGAAATATGAAAAATTGCTGACGATAAGATGATTGATATAGGCTATAACAGATTTCTCTGGCGTCATTATTGTTGTTGTTGTTGCCCTTATAGCTGTTGTTGATGTAGTTGGTGTTGTATTGTTGTCTATAGATTTCCTAGATACCTGAGTGAATGTTACGTGTTCAGCCTAATGATTGCCGCACTAAACTTTGCCTGAAATGAAAATGAAACTTTTTAAAATCAATAAAGATTGCATGTGCGACAACTGAAAATTAAAAATACAACTACATATATACGATTGTGTGCATATAGAATGAAGAGATATATTTTTTTGGGTTCCATTTACTGCGCCAGTGACCATAACAAAACAAATATACCAACCAAATTGTGGACAATTTTCCGCCCAAATAGATTTGAAGCAATATTTATTTAATTGCCATATGGCTTCACAGCGATAAGAAGCGATTAAAATGCGTTTAGTATTTATGTAAAAGTTATATAGTATTATAGATAATAATACGTTATGAGCAAATAAACATACATCAATCAAATAAATAATTAACCTGCATCACATACATTATCAACAAAGGTCAGCTGGAAATATTTATACAAGTAAATATACTTAACACATTTCTCTATTTTAATTTATGTAGCACGACTTCTTGACTTTGTATTCTCGTTTCTTGTTTACTGAAAGTAACGTCTGTTGTTGCTCTCACACTCTATCTAAAGCAAATATGCTTGAAAAAAGCTGTACTATCTAACATACAAAACATTTCTATATATATTCTTTATCTGTTTTACTAAATGCACAGTGCTGGAAGTACTCGAACGAAGTGTAGATGCTCTTACTTTGAATTTGCTTGCGCTTGTGTAGGTATAGATATTATATTGGATAATAGATCCATTCTAGCTATATCATAAATCTTATTCTAGATATACTATAAACAACTAGCTGAGCTGTTTGTATTATATATACAATAAACATAACAGATATATTGTTAAGATAACATTTATCTATTATACATTGTTAAGATCTACCAGAGATCCATAGAAACTACATACATAATTGTTTATTGGGAAATTCCAAGCTAGATATGTTCAAAAGGTTTTTTCGCACTATTAAAACAACTTGATTTTAATTAATGTGGGTTGTCAATAATGAAATATTTTAGATTAAAATAGATTTTATACTGGCACGATCATTAGATATGTGCGCAAGTGTTCCGTATCTCAGAATATGGTAAATAGAATAGTTGAAACCTGTTTACAAGTTATTTCCCCAGTTAGCTTTTGTGAGTGGAATACTTGCTGGGATTCATTAGACTGCTGCTTGCTGCTCAGCAGCTCCATTCCACAAAGCTGATAAGTGCATATAAAGCATATACTGTAAACACAGTCACCCTAATAATGCCTATGTATATGTGGTTATACATAAACCGATTGCAAGGCAGACGTTTATCAGTCTGAAGCTGAAACTTTGCACTCTCTTCATAATGAGATTATGTGACAAAGAACCAAAGAACGGACCCCAACAGAACATTGTTTCTTTGCACTGTCTAGACATTAGATCCGAATTATGCAATGGCCAATATTGATTGCCCAGGCGAAGTTTTGCCGGGTCAAATGGATCCAGTTGTGCGGCGATACGTACAAAATAACAAAGAGCCCAAACAATTGAGAGAAAGAGAGTTCCCCCCATCAAGAAGCAGAACCTCGTGCTCGTTCATTTGTGAGGTCAAGGCGGTTTCAAAAGGCTGTCGTCGTATGTTTTGCTACATTTTATATCAGTTTTTTTTTTTTTTTTTTTAAACTGCATTTTTGTTGGTTACATTGATTTTTCGCACAACACGTGCACCACATAAAAAAAATATATTTAAAAAAAAACTCACAGACAGGTAAACTTACCACTATTGAGTTTTACTGGCTGGCTATCAAAGAGGTTGTTTGTAAGGCATGTCTGGACTTTGCTGCTATTTAAAACCAATATCCATAAATAAATGTTGGGAAAATCAATTAAATTAACAAACGTTTTTTACACGGAACACGGCCGGCCCTGCTTGAACAAGGCGACACAGGGAGGAGCACAGAACACAGAACCAGAAACCAGAGAGAGAAAGTGTGTGCAAACGGAAAATGCTGCCAAACGTTACGAGCGACTAAACTGAACTAAAACGCTGAGCCGCCAGCCAAACGCGAGAAGCCAACGCAGTTGAGTTGAGTCCGAGTCTGAGTCTCAGGCCAAGCCAAGTGCACAGCAGAGCAGAGCAGAGCAGCGCAGAGCCAGGCAGAGCCAAAGGCAATTTTAGGGTCGGCTCGCTTGGCTAACGGAATGGCGGGACATGCGTGAAACGGCAAAGACGACGGCGGCAGCGACGACGACGACAACGGCGACGTCATGAATGAAGCCGGGAGAGCGGCAAACAAAGAGCGAGCTAAAAATGCTGAGAGAGCGGGAGAGCGGCAACAGTCAAAACAAACGTTTTGAAGTCAACTTTAACCGTTTGAGAAGCGGCTAAAAGGCAAACACGCGACACGTGCGTCGCCTGGTTGAGAGCGAAATGACGTGGGGAGAGGCAAAGAGAAAGCATGGATAGAGAGAGGGAGAGAGAGCACGCGGTGGCCACAGGCGTGGGAGCATTGCCTGCTGTCTGAGCCGAGAGTAGGCGAAGGGGGCCCGCCCCCCTATGCGACATGTGCATAGGAGCTGCGAGTACACTGGGGGTGGATTTGCGTCTGGTTTGATGAGGTGGCCGCTCTTCGTGACGCATTTCCCACTGTGCAGCGGGGCAGTTTGACTAGAAGTGAGGCAATGTCAAATTATGGGAAGAAGAGTTAACATTATCTAATAAATAGAATTAGTAATAGTTGTTGGGAAAATATAAGCACTATATACAATGCAGTTATGCGTAGAAAATATAGATATAAAAATACGATAAAATATTAGTTGATGTAATTGTAAATATATTTGTAGTATAATTATATTTCACTATTAATTGTTGATCTTATTTTTGTACTTTTCATACATATATGCAAAGTACTCCAATCATTCAAGGAATAATGTATAATCTTAAATATATGTATATATATCAGTTCATTAATGCATAACTCTCTCGCACCACCCTCGCATTCGTCGGCTAACCGAAAGTACATATTTAGCTTCGCTTTGAGTGGCCTTTTCGACAGCTGTTGTTTGGCTCTTTGGGCGGCAATTTATGAAATCAGTGGCCTGATTTAAAAACTTATATCGACATGCTTATAAAAAATGCAAACTCTGTAGGGCCGACTACAATGTGGCCCTCGAGTTGACCAGAGTGTAAGGATTGCAATTAATTAAATGGCCTTATGAAAGCTGCAAGCCTTTTGCCTTCATTCTGAGGCCCAACTCAAATATAATAAACTGTAGCATACTCTTAGGCTGTTTGCTTAAAGCAGAGACGTGCACCTCGAGTGCGTGTCTGGCAGTTGTTCAGCAAATGGAGCGTTTACATAGAGTCGGGGTCAGTGTCATGTCTGGTTCCGTTTTATCAGTGAATGGGGACCACAAACGGGACAACCGCAACTTTCAATGAATGTTTACAAATGGCACAAAAGAGCTTCGGACTGGTATAAATATACACTTTAGTTGTTAATTGTCCATCGATGCGCGAACAGCTGACTCAAATTTAGACGAATGGGCGGCAGCAAGGAGGTGGTTATCGAGGTGGAAGACACACTCAGCTCGGAGGGCAGCTTCGCCAGCACCGTGGCGGGTCAATGTTGCAGCGACGAACTACAAGATCGGGAAACTGTTCAACGGAACGATCCTGCTGCCGCAGCGCAGACTTCAAAATTCAAAAAAAGTCCCAGCGTGCTATCGGGTGGCAATAACTATGCGAGCAGCAAAAATGTAGCCGAGGGTAAGTGAGAGAGTTGAGTGTTGCATTAACATTCGAAAAGCTTTATATGTATATATTTTATAAATATACTAGTTTAAAATAGTCAAATGTGCATATAATCTACGCAGTTATATATTTACGCAGTTATATATCTATGTTTCATTCCAACTAAATATAGTGTATTCTTGTGAAATTGGAATTTGGCCGCTGCAAAAAAATAGTCCAAAATATTTTTTTAATAATTAGAGGCAATTTAAATTCCCAAATTCCCTTTCAACTGAGGATATTGTTTATTAATATCCATTAAAAATGGGAAATTTATAAAGTGAGTTCGACTGCTTGCCTGCAGACAATAATAGGAATATTGAACGCTTAAGCTGATTATATTATAATCAAATAAAGGGGATATTATGGCATGAAAGGACAGAATAAAAATATATGTTTGAGGTTTTATAGTAGTAGTACGAGTTTGTACAGATTATATATTATATACATATAAATATATTGTATATACGTCTTATAGTTATAGAACTTCTGGTATTAAAGTTCTCGCCTTATGCTTTTTAGGTCTCATGGACATAGCTTTGCTCTCGGCAAACGCTAATCAGCTGCGCTTTTTGATCACCTACAATCATGCGGCATCCACATTCTACTGCAGCTTGGCTCTGGTCATACTCTCCCTGGTGCTGCAATTATTTGTGGGTATTGTGCTGATCTTTAAGGTAAGTGAAAGTCTATTTTCTGATATGTGGCTTTACATAAATATATTTTAATTGTGGCTCCTTTACAGCGCCGCCTCAAACGCTGTCAGAGTCGCAACTATATGCGAACCAATGAGGTGCTCATCATGGGCGTATTCCTTATCACTGTGATCAATGTGTTGCTGGCTGCATTTACCACAACCGACGGACGTGCCAATTGAAATAGTAAAACAGCTTTGCATTTTCTTTATAAATTGAATCATATTTAATAAAAGTTAACAAAAAAAATTGTTATAAATGCGTTGGCCATGATCCTCAGAAATCGTTGACCAGTCCAGCTAAATGCACTTGACGTATCTGTTGTACGATATCGCAGCTTTATATATACAGACTTAGGGATTAAGGGATTTAGGTGCTTGGGGGGATTTGGGGATTTGGGTATCTTAGCCCGAGAACTCCTTCTTGATGCACTTGGCAATGGTGCTCAGCTGCATGTTGGTGGTTCCCTCATAGATGGCACCGATCTTGGCATCACGATAGTATTTCTCCTGGGGGAAGTCACGGGTGAAGCCCACGCCGCCCATCCAGTCAATGCACTTGGTGGCGGCACGCTGTGCCACCTCCGAGGCGTAGAACTTGGCCATGGCCGCCTCCTTCAAGAAGGGTACGCCGGCCTCCTGCAGGCGAGCCGCATTGTAGGTGAGCAGACGAGCCGCCTCAATCTCTGTGGCAATGGTGGCGATCTGGTGCTGCATGGACTGGAAGTTGTAGATGGCGTCGCCGAACTGTTTGCGCTCCAACAGATATGGAATGGTGGCATCGAAGGTGCCCTGGGCCAGGCCCACCATCTGGGCGCCAATGCCGATGCGACCCTCGTTCAGGAAGCCAGCGGCGTACTTGTAGCCATGGCCAAAGGTACCCAGGATATTCTCCTCGGGCACGCGCACATTGTCGAAGGTCAGCATGCAGGTGCCGGAGGCACGGATGCCCAGCTTGTCCTCAGGCTTGTTCACAGTCAGACCGGGAGTCTCGCGGTCCACAATGAAGGTGGTAATGCCACGATAGCCCTGAAAAGAAAAGCAGAATTAGTATCAATATATATATAATGAAAATATACTAATAAAAATTCTCCTTTAAGGATAGGTGAAGGATATCGAGAATAATAAAGGATATTTGATAAATCCTACAAGTTCTAAATGATTCTGTTTTACTTACATCCTCAGGCTTGGCATTGGCAAAGACCAGGAAGACACCAGCAACATCGGAGTTGGAGATCCACATCTTAGTGCCGTTTATCACATAGTGAGAGCCATCCTTCTTGGCCACAGTCTTTAGGGAGAAGGCATCAGAGCCTGCACCCGGCTCAGTCAGAGCGAAGCTGCCGGCATATTCTTGAGCCAGCTTGGGCAAATATTTCGCCTTCTGCTCGGCGTTGCCAAACTTGATCATCAGCGAGTTGACCAATGTGTTGTGAATGTCCACGAAGGCAGCGACAGCTGGATCAATCTTGGACAGCTCCTCGACAACGATGATGTTGGTCATGAAGTTGCAGCCACTGCCGCCCAGTTCCGTGTCGATTTCAATGCCCATCAGACCGTTCTCGAAGACGGCCTTCACCACAGACGGATCAAACTTGTGCTCAAAGTCCATTTTCTTGACCAGGGGCTGGATTTGTTCCTGGGCCAATTTGGCAACTAGAAACGAGAAGAGAAATGCGTTGAAGATAAAAGTAATCTACATATATATTTTTCATGAGCTATTATTTAACGATCATTAATGTGAGCAATTAATTTATTTATTACCCAAGTGCTTGTTTCAGCATCATCTATTGTGAGCATAAAGATAAGAAAAGATATAAAGCTTTTAGTTCTACGTTGAGCTTTTAGTAGTCGTAGTCTGAAAGGCCTTCCGCTTGCTATTAATATGCTCGGCGAGCTTTCAGCAAAGTTTGCAGTTTGTTATGATCGAGAAGCTTTCCTACAAGCTTTGAATGGCGTTATAATAAACTGGTTCGCGTACGTATTACAAGCACACATGTGTGGTGTGTGTGTGTGTTTGGTATCGTGTCTGCTTTGTGTGTGTGTGTGTGTGTGTGCCTACGCGTGTATCTACTTTATCAATAACGCCGCAAATTCTCTGCTCGCGTGGCGCTCTCTCTAAACGAGCCGCTCTCCCTTGCGCTACCACTCTCTTTTTCTCTCCCTCTCTCTCTCTCTTTTACGCACACATGCATTTATTTTATTATTTTTTATTGATGTCTCTTAGTTGTGGACATTTTTCTTGCTGCGTTGTTTTTGCTCGGAAAGCCAGCAAATGTTGCGGCCGCCAGGCACACGCCCACTTTGCTAACGAACGCTAATTTTTAGCCATAGTTGGAAAACTTTATAATTAATTGAATCTATAAATATTTGAGTGCAAATTGAATTAGTTGACCAATAGTTGCATGCACTCGTCAACAGCTGGTGTCCTTTTATGATCCTTGAGCTAACTTTTGGTTAATTTATTCGCATTTTACTAAGTATATAAAACTATCATACATTCTTTGCGCACAACTGTACCATTAATGCGTATTATTAGTTCTTCAGCATATATACAAATATACATTCATACATACATATACATACTTCTAAATTTTTCCATTTTTTTCCATAACTTATCCCCAAATATTTGCAGTGTCTTTTGAAACAGGTTTGCACACTTAGCATGCAGTCGGTGTTACGCAACATTCTGATAAGTATAAACATCAGATCATGTAGCAGACCGCACCTTGAACCCTCTACGGTGCCCATCTACATACGCAAGCGACCTCAATATAGGTATAAAATAGTTGTTATAAAAAGGGCATAAGAGAGATATTATAAAAAACAAAGGGAAATTTATTATCGAACTAGAAAGAGGGAACTTATTAATTCCAATACAAATAATTGGATAAAAACAAAAAGATAATTTGTCAATTCTCCAACTAGGACCCAGCGGTTTGTACAAGGGGAATTTAAACGCCCACCTGCTCTGCTGGCTCAACTCTCGAGGCGAATGACGCGACCAAGAACCACACATCCATTGCCCGCGCGACACTAGAACAGTGACACAATGGGCGGAGGCGTGGCACAGCCGCATATTTGCTCTATCACAAGTGTAACGCTGTGGAGTTAGTTATTACAACTGAACAGCTGACTTACTTGTGAAAAACTCACAATCCACAACGATAAAGGGAAATGTGTTTAAAGGGAAGAGAATTGATCCTCAAAAAAGCTTAACTCTAATAAAAATTCTACTCATTCAGCAGTCGAGCGCGTCACCGAGCGAGCTCGAACACGCGACTTTTTCACCAAACGAGCTCCATACAATTTGATAGGCAGCCCTTTAGCGTGCTGCGCCATCGTCGACCATTCGGCAGCTCTGTCCAAAGCAAAGACTGTTAACGCAACTGCGAAGCAAGCTATTTTTAGCACACACACATACAAATACTCGTTGTGGTGTTATGTTATTGTTTTTTTTTTTTACTCGCGTCGCAATTGTGGATATGGAAAAAATATATGAAAATTAAAATGCAAACAACAATTGTTATTTTCAAATATTTGAAATGTATATAAATATTAAGTTATATAAAATAATAAATATTTATATAAAAATGCCACGTTGGCGTTAAACAACAGAGAATAAATTTGAGAAAAAA